GCAATGATTTGGTGTGCCTTGACATTCTTCACGTATCTTAAATGACCTTGTTGTCTGTCTATAAGCACTACTTAGACGAAGATTTTCAATGTGCTTGAGAGGGGTGACCATGCCCATGTGATGCACTACAGGTTACTATTCAGAAGCCTTGATGGTCTAGTATTGTCTGCCTGACGGTTTCTTTTACTTCTATCAGTGGAGTGCAGACTTCAAAGACAGCTTTTCTTCTGTAGTACATTTTGTTATCCCTACATTCAAGAAGCCCAAAGTTCACAGTAATGCTGAAGTAATCAGCTAAAACCACCAGCATATCACATATAAAAAATACTTAATTGTCAACAATTGTCAACCAAGCCAAAGCAGAATGTTCCTAGTAACCTTTATGATTGCTGCTTTGTATAGTTACAGGAAGTGCATTAAGTTCTGTCAACTCCCTACACAAGTCTCAAAATTGAGTTGCTCTGTGAGTAGCAGACTAAAATAGTAGTAAACATGGCTCTGTTTCAGGATAATTAAATAACTTGTTGCACCCACCACCCTACCAGATGGTGGCTTGTCCCTCATAAGAGCTGTACTCCGCTCACTGAACAAGGGAGATTCTGTTGGAGTGCTATGTCCGTATTCACAGAACTGTACAGTTACATTGAGGTAACTATTGCTGTGCTATTTTATATGGGTACAGACCTCCGCCCTTTCAAAGTCTCCTGTGGTAAACCATGGCCAAAGGCTGTTAGGAAAATAGTGTACTCAAAATGGTGCCTGACGATGCAACCATAAATCCCAGACCAACTTCTTATTGAAAATTGAAAATTATGTTTTGGTTGTAGAGGGCCAACCAACAGGAACTCTCACATCCCACAATATCCTGAAGAAAGAATAGACTAGAGAGTAGAGAATAGAGAGTTATCCCAGGTACCCCTCCTCTCACCTTGCAGCACAAGCCAGACAACGGCCAAACAACACTCCTATCTCTACAGTGCAAACCACTAGAAAAACAGAAGATCTAAAGGTCATAACCGTTTGATTGCACAAAAGTGGAGTCATATTCAGACAGGGTATCCAGGCCAGCCTATTCTAGAGGTTCAAAGGTGCAGATTCTACTGGTGTACAAAGCAATAGACAGCCTCCTCTCAGCCTCCAAAGCACCTCTTAATATCAATTTAATTAGCAGATGGCTTCTCACTGTGAAACGTTCATAACCTTCATGACCAGCTACAGTTGCTACCACAAATTTGTCTAACATGGGGAAACACAACCTTTCTAAAGCACTTCCTCAAGAGGTGTGCTGGCTATATAGACCCTATAATGTACTAAGAGCTTAAAATCAATTCTGAACGCAGCTAATGACAAGGTGCAAAAAATGGAGTGTTCACTTTGTACCAGATAAATGTTTAGCTGATGCATCTGAGCAAGCAAAATGCAATGATGGATTTTTTTTGCCAATTTCAGAATACATACAAAATTTTAAATACAAAGATAGCAGGTTCCGCATTTTAACAAAATATGATTGCTTCAATCTTGAACACAAGTCACTTTTTTTTTTTTAAATGCTTGTCTACGTGGGGGCTATTGTAAAAAAAAGAGGCAGGTTTTCTGCAGTATTCGATAACATTGTGCGTAAGTGACTTAGTGTTATTAATCAATTTGCATTTTCCTAATAAATGAAAAATATTTCAGTTATATTTGCATCTAGCTCCAGCAAATATTGAGCCATCCACTTTTGAATTTCTCAGAAATGGTTATGATGACAGTCTAATCCCTGTGGGTTTTGAGAATTGCATAATAGGTGGAGCTGCATATCATCTGCATAATAAAGAACACTGATGGTATGGCTATATAATAGATGGCCTAAAGATGACATATAAATAGAGAACAGAAGTAGACCAAGATATGGCCCCTGGGGAACTCCACAAAGGAGAAGGGCCTATTTACAACATTTAAGTGCTATTTTTAACCTTAAACCTTTTCAAAGCAATACACATGTCCAACCAATGCTTAAAAAGAATTGCATGATTAACAGCACCAAATACAGTACTGAGGTAAACAGATCTGATCAAAAAATTAGCAATAGCAAGTAATTAACTACTTTAAGTAAGTTAAGTTGCATTGTTTCAGTTTGGTGAACCCTAAAACCTGACTGAATGTAATAAAAGGATCAGTTTCATTCATAGATGCAATAAACACTCTCGATAGGTGTGACTATGAATGAATTACTAATATATACATTTGCATCTTGCAGCTGGTTCAAGGGATGTTGGACATTGGCACTTTATCTACATAATCTATTTATACATTTAACATTAATCTATGTACAAGTATAGGTAGTAATAGCACAGGCTAGTTTAAATTAGCTTGAGTAAATTAATTTGTCATACATAAAACCCATAGGGTAAGACTGTCAAGACTGACTGACAAACAAATTAAAAATATCACAATACTGTCATTACTGTGTAGGACCAAAGACTAACTAAACTATGGCTGCTATGACTGGGGAGAGAAAATATACCATGCAGAAAACGAACTAGTAAACCAAGTCCGTACAATGATCATGAACCACTTGTATATCAAGGTCAACCCCAAGGAGATATACACAAAGCATATAGATGCATGTTTGAATTTTAAAGCAGAATTTATCAGCCCAATCTAATCTGAAGGACTTCAAAGGACAATCTGACAGGTTCATAAAAATATTCAGAATTATTTTCATATGTTTAATTCAGAAAACTTTGCGTTTGCTTAGTTAACTACACACAGTTTCATGTTGCTCCACTTCTCTTCAGCCATCAGCAGTGTCTAAACACGGATGTCTAAATTATTTCGTAATCTGTTTGTGCAAAAGGTTGTACAGCTGCTCATCACCATTTCAGCTGTGGTTTTGATGGTTTTTGCCTTTTTACTGATTGCTACTGGTTAGCCAGTAACCATGATGACATCTGTGTATGGACACAGATGAATATGTAAGGCGAATTATATTCCTCTATCAAAGCAAAAGCCATTTCACCTAATATTTGATTACACTATGAATTACATATCTGATTGTTGTATGATTGTATCTGAACTGTTCTCACTGGGTATTTCTGAGGGGTTAACACATTGATCACTTTTGTGTCTTATGAAAGATACACATGGGAGTTATTATCTCTGCCATGGTTCTTTTTGCTAGTAAGTCCCTCTGGGTTTCAGCTACTTGACCTTTGTGCATGTTGGTTTGAGCTCAAGTGCTAAACTGGACAGCTGCACCTTTTAAATATAATAAAGAAATAATGCCACAAATGGTTTGGGGAAAAAAATAGTTAATCACACTACCACAGGATAAAATAGGACTATTATTTTTGTGTAATTAGAATACTGAATATATAGCCTACTTACACATCTTTCACTAAGTAACTCCATATTTCCTAATATTGTTTGATAATTGCAATTAATTGTCTGTTTTTAATTTAGCCAAGACATTTTTTCCAAATTCCACATTGTGGACAATAAAGTTCAAAGTGGACTAATTTACTAAGTGACTCATTAACTTATAATAAAAAATAATGATTACAATGAGCTAATATTGAAGTCCACACATGCATCCCAACAGTGATGGTTAAGTGATGCCTTAATAGAGATTACTAAATGTGTGTACTAATATTTTAGCAACACTTGAGGTGTACAATCTCTCGTGAGTTATGAATGTAGTAACCCCAAAGATTTTGGGGAGAGAAAAAACAAACAAAAAAATCCTCCTAAGTCACTAGATTCTAAAACTGTTAGACTAATCTATCAGACACCATAAATTACACTACAAGTTACCTAACTGTAAGGTTGTCTCCTGTCTTCCACACACCATACCTCTGTATCTGAGCCTGCACTGCCATCTGCTGTTCTTTGGTATGAAACGCATACCAGAGGGTCTACCAAGTGGATGGGTTGATAGGTCATGTGTTGCATTCAAGTACTCATCGTAAATACCAAATTTGTAAATGCAAGTTGCGTATTTAAGGTCTTTGCTTGGGAGTAATTAATCGCTGCTTGTTTTAGAAATGGAACAGTACAATAGTTTGTCCTATAGCAAAGGAAAGTAAAGAAATACTTTCACATCAGGGGTGTAGTCTCTTAGTCTCTGCCTTTTTTATAATAAAAACTCAACTTTACTGCAAGTACTTCACCCTCTTAATGTAAGAAGGTGCTGTTATAAAATAATAGAGGATGCGTGCAGCCAGGGGCAAGAAAATTGTCTTTTTTTATATTTTTTTATTTTTATTACTTAGAAATATAATAACATAGTGGGAAAATAATAAAATTGTTTTTTATTTTTTTTTAAAATCACTTTTCCAGCTATTCTGTGTTGCTGCAATGACCCTAGTCACAGTAAAAGCAATCAATTTTGAGAAATAAACGTTTTCATCTGTGTATGAATGTGCACCAAATGTGGACATAATAACACAGAGCTACATGGCTTGGTCCATTATGTTATTAAACAGATTTTGTGAAGTTTGAATCAAAATTAAAAGCTGTGGTTTTTAATTGTGCTAGGGACCCAATGAATAATGGAGAACTTTGGCTCAAATGGCGATTGCATTTGCAGATGCGTCTGTGGAAACCTTTTAAAATGTGAACCATCAACCAGTGTCTGAAATCTACCAACCACTTTCATATTTTACCAACATTTGGTTGGTGGCTGGTGCTAATTCCCCACTCTTGACTCAAGGAATCTGAGGGAAAATTAATTTTGTTTGGCTACCATATACTTAAGTAATGAGTGATGAGTTGTTTCTGATTGTTGACAGATTGTTGTAGTAGTTGGCAGTCCCATCCATCTGCTAAATTTGGTTGCTGTAGGTGTTGTAGGTTCTGATATTCTCAGGGCATGATTATTACTATTATTATTACTATATTAGTCCATTCCCTCTTTGGGGATTTGTAGTCAACATTTCAAACAGCACTTGAATGCAGCTGGTCTAATCTGGTCTAATCTGGGCAGGAACGTCACCAGATGAGAGATGACATCTGTGGATTGTAGCTTTACTGTTCAAGTGAAATAAACACAAGGCTGTCATTTCCTGAGACAAAATGTCTATAACAACTTGCCAGAAGGTTACTCTGATATCATGCTCTGTTCTCTGTGTTTCTCTCTTCCTGCCCAGAATGCTTTTACCCAGAGGGAAAAAGGAGATGGGGCAGCCTGAGGGTAAGGCGGCTTATCAGATCATCATCCATCCATCCATCTCCATCCCGCTCCATCTACGATGTCTTTTTGTTGTTGTTGTTGTTGTTGTTGTTGCCAGCTGGTAGTCTGACTATATAGAGTGTGTCAGGCCTAGGGCCTCAACATAGTGCACAAATGTTCATCATAATGTTACACAATGGATGAGAAGAAAAAAAGAAAGACAAGCAGTTCACATATATTGAAAAATATGTGGTTATGTTCTAAAATGTAAAGAAATATGTACTGTATCTATACATTTGCACATGTTCAAATATACTTTTTAATATATGTCTACACTAAATTTTATGTGTTCTATATTTAACAATGTAAAGCTGAAATTGCTGTAGGATTGTGTGTTCTTGGTATTATTCGCTGCTTTTACACCTCATTTACTGACACTGATTAAGCTGCTGTATTTGTTGATACGTCAGAACTTAAGATAGGTTTGGACGCTTAACACAAAATTTATAGGGTTCTTTAAATGCTTGAACATTAGATTTTAAAGCCTCTGATCAGATATCTGTAAATTCCTTATGCTTAGATACTTTGCTTCTTAAAAATGAAACACTGTATAAATATTGTTTTTTTAACACCAAATTGTTCCATGGAAAATGCTGATTTATATAATATTGTGAAATTATACTTTCTATGTAACACCACTGTGGTTGGATGTTCACAAACAAAACAATACTGCAGTCAGAAAGATAATTTGGATTTCTGGGACCACACAATATTTGCAGAGCAAGTTAAGTCCTTCTGAATAATAGCAGTGTCAAAAGGTATTTTAAAAGCAGGGCAACTCTGTTTTCTATAACACCTCAAATGTTGAAAATGCAATTTTGTTCAGATCTGGGTGGTGGTTTAATTTTTAAAAAAGTAGAATAAAGTCTAATTTTATGAGTTTATCTTCATTTTATTACTGCCTATTCATAACTAAAATAAAGTCCACCATGTGAAGGCTGATTCAATTAAAAAGCTAAATGCTGGCTGCCACACACAAATCAAGCGATGCTTTAGACTTAAAATTGAGATACAGACTAGAAATAAAAATATAAAATGATTGATCAATTTATTAACAATCCTCAAAAACTGTAATGCTGATAAACTACCAACAACCCAATCAACCAATCAATCAATAACCTAAGCAAATACGACAAAGTGATGGTGATCAGACATAATCAATAACCACACCTATTGTGCTGATCAACAAATGTCTGTGCTTTGTTTTGTCGAGTTGTCCCCCTGTACTATAAACAAATACATACACATACAAATGATAACGATTATCAATCGCAGTGTCTTACCTTGTGTCTTCAAGTCTCTCTTCTGTTCAGGAAATCATGACTCTCCTTCTGTGTTTGGAAGCCATTAAATAGTTCACTTATATTCATTATCGATCTAATGCTGGTCTGTTTACATCCATGTTTGCTGACAGTGGCAGCGTGCTAACATCCTTACGATACGTCCGCCTACCAACAGATGTCGCGTTTTGACTTGTATTTTCAGAGTTATGAGGGATTGTTTTGAGGGTTATCCCTCTACTGTATTGTGATAACGCTGTTTTTTTTTTTTTCTTTGTTGATGGCTAATTTCAAAGTTTTAACAACCACATTCAGCTTGTTTTGTGAATCAGCTAAACATTGCACGTAACGCTACTTGACTTACCACTTAACGGCTACGTCTGCCTGTTTTTTGCGCACTTGATTGTAATTGGTGGAACAGACTGTCAATCATACGCAACATCATTTTGATTGGTGCAAAGAGGCGCTGAGGGCGGGAAAAAGTACTTACCAGGAAATATGTTATATTTGCTTTATCCAGCCGTCTTAATAGTTTGTAGCAGTTATCTATGGCACACTAGACGAAATGTTGTTTTGATTTTGAGTAGTAATGTTTACAAAGGACATCCTGGTATGAAATGTACAATGCATGTTTGCAAACTCGCATTTCCAACACACAAGTTTAAATAAATGTGGAAGAGTGTCTGCCCTGACTGCTTCTACCCAGATATTGACCTCATATTTATTATATTTTGAATTGGACCAAATGGGAAATCAATTTAAATGTATTCCAATGTCCTCCAGTTGGACCTGGGTTCTACCCCCCTGTGATGCATCAGCTGTCACTGCCAGAGGACCCAGAACAGTGGGGTGTGGACCCTTCGTACTCCATGACACACGTTGCTGAGGCCATGGCCAAAGTAAAAGGCATCGGACGAGGCAAAAAATACAACCTGATGGGTCAGGTGATACCCATATATGGCTTTGGGATCTTTCTTTACATCTTCTATATAATCTATAAGGTAATTACTGCACGGCAGGCCATATAAAGTGTTACCATGCAGCTTTATACTATAGGGTACTATAATATGCTATCTCTTCCACATAAATACAGCATAATGAGAAATACCATGGTGATCTCTGTGGCAATACTGACTGCATTTACTTCCCATTTAGGCACTTTAATGTACAGTAGACCTTTTTGTATTACAAATGATTATTGCTTTGCTGTATTACTCTAATTAAAACTATCATCATTGTCAATCCTTTTATGTTCACAGCTGACATATAAGGGGAAGACTAATAAATCAGGATATTACACTACAGTAACCAAGGCCCACACGGAGAATAAGATTAGTAAGTATCTTCAGTGATTTTCAGTGAGTATCTGTGTTATAGTGTAATTCACACAGTACATTTCAACAGCCCCAGGGTCCCTAGTAATGCAGTTTGATCTGTTCATGGACAGCATGTTAACATTAGATTTTTTTCTTAACAAATAATTATTAGTTAGTGGCATGAAGTTCTTCAGAGAGAGTAGTCAAAGCCAAAAGCACAGTAGCAAAATATGTTATTATAAAGGAAATTTGGTGTGTAAATGGCTCTTTTGCCTACAGTATGTGGCAAATCAACAACACACCCCATAACATATACATGTACACACCTGCATATCATTTGTGCATACTGTTTACATAGAAATGCATTATCTTTTGATATTATTATTTAGCAACCGATGAGCTTGTCAGGCTTCAGGAGAGACTACTGCAAACAGAGAGGATGATGGAGAGGATTGTGTCTGGAAAGAGTCGAGGTTCTGGGAGGTAAGACTTAGTTTCATCATCCTACTTTTTACTGCCCATAGCACATGACCAGAAAAAAATACTTAATACTGGGATAAATCAGCTTGGACCTGGCATGGAAATGAAAGGGCTAAAAATGAAACTGAAAATTATTCAAAGGTGAAAAGGCCACTGGCATATTTTACTTAACCGCTACTGCTGCCACTTTATTTTTTAAAAGTCATATAATAACATAAGCTGTGTGAAGCGAATTGATGTGTAAGGAAGGGGGAAATTATCTCGTTGCTAGTTTGTTGGAGAATACTAATGTCCCTTTTGGTACATGCTGATGCTAAATAATTATTTTTAATAAGCAAATAAAAACTCACATTGCGACTCACAGACTCAAAAAGTGAGTTTAAGTGATAGTTATTAGTCACACTTCATTGATACAGAAAACATCTCTAATCTGGACCCATTCTCACTCAGAAAGGGCTTTGAAAAACCAAGAGCCAGTAAATCAGAGTGATGTGCCATATCATTGCCATCTTGCCTGACTCTGCTTCCATATCTGTGGCAGAATCTCTAGTGGCAGAAGGAGGAGGAGTAAAACTACAACATCAAAGAAGGAGGAGAAATTACTCAAGCAACTTAGACAGATCACACAGCTGATGCAAGAGGGCCGGTTGGAGGGAGCTTCCCCAGAGATGGAAGCTGAGGAGGTCCCCTACAGTGCAGACTGGGATGGTACATGCCTAAATCTGAACCTCAAAGCTGCTTACATAATTTCACAAGTACATTTGTGTCAGATTCTATGAGCAGATTTTGTCTCCAGAATAATCAAATACATTTTAATCATAAGACGCTGTTAATTCAAACAAAACTCATATGGTGTATTAAATTATGTTTCTCTTCCTACATCATTGTAGGCTACCCAGAGGAGACCTACCCAGTGTACGACAATCCCTGTGACAGACGTAGATTTGAGAGCATTATGCTGATGGAGACCCCCCCCAACCAACCCACTGCCGAGGCCCTGGCAGAGAGGATGGAGCAAGAGGAGGAAGAGATTATGGCAAGGAAACTATCCATAGTACGAGAGGAGGAGGAGGAGGAGGAGGAGGAAGAGGAGGAGGAGGATGAAGAGGAAGAGGAGGAGGAGGATGGAGAGGAAGAGGAGGACGAAGAGGAAGATAAAGAGGAAGAAGTAGAGGAAGAAGTAGAGGAAGAAGTAGAGGAAGACATAGAGGAAGAGGAAGAGGAGGAGGAGGAGGATGAGGAAGAGGAAGCAGAGAAAAGGCACTTGCTCAGTCTTCCTTTATCCCAGATCGAAAGGAAGCCAGAGATGCTGGGTTTGGAGGTGAGCGAAGAGCTGCAGTGTTACAACGGAGGGAAGAAGCAAATAAGCTTCAGTGACCACAGAGATGTGTTCCGCTACCCTAAGGAGGAGGCTTATGAGGAGGAGGAAGAGGAGAAGGATGATGAGGTGGAGGAAGAGGATGAGGGGACAGAGGTGGAAGAGGAGGAGGAAGCAGATGAAGAGGATCCAGTGATGGAGGCAGAGAGCCTGCTGTTCAGTTGTGAGGGTTGTCCCAACCCGGAGGAAGAGGCAGAAGAGGAAATCGAGTATTTGTTAACGTCAGCGTCCGTGGAGGGTGACGATGGCATCCAAGCAGACATGCCGAAAGAAGTCGGGGTGAGTGGGCTGAGGATGCGGAACAGGAGAGAAACCTAAAGGACTTTTCCAGTAACCTAAAATGAGTTTTTAAACTCAACGTTCCTCAGATTATAGCTTCTGATGCTTATACATTACATACACATACATTATTTGCAGTCTTTTTCCAGTCTTGATTCAATATCCACAAACAAGTTACAATTGTATTCATTCATTCGTTTCATTTTTCTGGTGAAAAGATAGATATATGGACCACACTCAATGAAAGGATGTTTAAAGGCCCTGCACACCCACACAGTTTGTTTTCATTGCCTGATTAGACCTCTTTTTAGGCCGTCCAGAGTCATTCAGCCAGAGTGTGTACAAAATGTGCTTGATTGACATCTCTGTAGTGGCACCAATGGGTGACCTTATGTTATACCCAGCATACCTCTGCCCAACTTCAACCTGAGTAGAAGTCCAATCAGTCTGGTTAATTACAAACACCTCTGTGTGCGTGTGTGTGTGTGTGTGTGTGTGTGTGTGTGTGTGTGTGTGTGTGTGTGTGTGTGTGTGAGCAGAGCTTTCAAAACAAGTTAAAGAACTGAAGATTATTATAAGTTAGCGACTGCTCATTGGCTTTTGAACAGGAAAAGTCTCCAAATTAAGTAATTCTCTACATTACTCATCATTCCAGATTACTTGTTATTACTTTTGAATTAGAAAAATGTGTAACAAAACATAAAAATATGTATGTCACTCAGCAGGAACAGGGGCTTGGGGCCTTGCGACAAATTATATGTATATAGCAGTCTATGAGTGTGCAGTACTTGACATTGTCACGCAATATCTGGCTCCACCTAGTGGTATAATGTGGATCTACTCTTGGGGATGCTCTCTGTTGCTGTAATGCGGCATAACAGCGTAGAATACATGGCAACAGCATAACCCCCCCCCAAAAAAAAAAATTATCATAGAAATAAGAACCCTCCAGGATGCCCACAAACAGAGTACAAGCAAAGCAGGTGGAGGCTGTGGTGGGGGAGGCTTTTGCAAATTGATAGCAGAGCAAAGCATAAAGATTTATAAATACGAATCAGTGCAGTAAGGTGGGAAGGATGCAGTAAAATAGCTCTCAGCTGCCACAGCAGCACAGCTTCAACTTCAGGTGTCCTGCCAACATTAAGTCATTAACTCGCATTGCTGCCTCCAGTGATTGATGTGATTAAGTTACACTTTATTAAACCCTGTAGGGAATTCCGTCTTCTGCACTTGATCCCTTCTCAAGGGGCAGAGGACTAATTGAACTCTATATTTTTTAACTGTATATCCTGTTGTACAGTATATAGCACTTTTTAGTTTAAAGGTTTATGGTTACAGCTGTTTTAAAGTCCTTGACATCTGTTTTTATGAGGCACTGTTGACATTGATTTTTGAACATGAGCAGACTGTGTATGTGTTAGTGTAAACACAAATGTCTAAGACTAGCATTTTGTCTGGCTGTGACTCGCAAATTAAAACAAAAACACCAAGTTGGAAATAATCAAGGACAGAAATAAAAAAGGTGATATCCATACTGAGTCTGAAGCTGAATCTTAGTCCTTGAGGAATAAAGATGATTGGATGTACAGTAATGGTAAATTCAAGCAGCAACCCTCATGGTCACAGTTCTCTCTGATTATACAAAGATTCAGAGCAGAAAAAAGATCAGCACAGGATAGAAAGACATAAAGAAAGAAGAATCCACAAAAAAACAATGAAAATGCAGATTCAACCAGTTTAACATCTGTTCCCAATGCTTGATAATTATCCCACATCCAGATCTCTGTGATGTTAGAACTGTTTTGTGTTGAGAGCACCATTATAGTACTAGTCTTGTGATACCAGACGATCGGAGAGCTCAGCATTCGAAGCGTTTAGAGACTGGCTTGTGAGTCTAGTGTAGTACTAAACAATGGATCCTGTTCATATGTCACACTGCCACACCTAAAGTATTAGCTAGTAGGAAAGGTTGTAGGCAAGCCAGTTACTCCACTGTATTGTATTTTAATAGCAATACAACCTGTTTTTGTCTTGCAACATTGTTATAGAAAAGACCAGATTCACACAATAAAGATGGGATTACTTCTCAACTTCAAATACAGTATTTCTCTGTGTGTTTATGTTCTTCTTCTTCTTTCACGGATCATGGACAAGTATAGCTCAGAACAAGGTGACTGAGACCACAAAGAGGAATAAACGGTTTCCTTAAAGTGCAGCCACTTCATGAACATGTAATTCAAAAGAGTGTACAGTAGCTTTAGTAGACAAATACACATATTCTGACTTACTGAAGTTTTATTTTTTTTCCATGATCAAAGGACTGTGTCTAGACCACCACAGTAAATTGTACACCATTTACTGTACATTACAACAAGAGCACTAAAAACATAAAGTGAAAGAACCTTTGGTTCCTGGACACATGTATGAAAAGCAGACTTTACAGCAAGAGTATCAACAATTTTAAAATAGAAATTTAAAATAGTTAGAACACAATTGAGTACAAGAATAGCACATTTGATAAAGATTTCCTCATAACCCACAGTAACAATAGCGGTATCAGAGATTGTTCTTTGCCGTCATTCATCATTTTTTAAAGGTCATAAAATACAAAATACTATCATATATTTGAGAAAGGATACTGCCCCATGAGGAGCAAGAGGAAAAATATTTTGAGTAAAAATGTGAACAGCAATAAACCACGTGATATAGAAACGTACAGCCAGTCTGATGAGGAATGTACCAAACTCCACCTCAGTGGAGCATGAAATTAATCAAAGATGTAAAGAGCAGGAGATGAAATATGTGCTAAGTGTTGAAGCTGTGGCAGATTCACAATGTTACTGTGTGTTTGTTGGCAGTAAGTCAATCTGTCCAGTTTTTTTTCCCAGATAGGAGACATCAGAAGATATGAGCACAACCTTAAGCCTGAGTGCTTTGGATATTATGCCTGATTTACAATATAATGAAAATAAATTCACTTCTTTAGTGTAATCTATTGTAGGCCCTAGATGGAATTTAAATATATCTGGACAATCACTGAAATTATGTCCAATGATGTGCACTTTATATTATTATCTATTGGAGGCTTTTAAACTCCAGCTATTTAATCAGTCTAAACTAACTCTTCATTAGACAACTGAATTCAAAGTAGCTACAGAGAAATATCTTGAATGCATGTGAAGACAACAAGAATAGCAAAGACCAATTCAAGCTCAGCTCATTTTATGGCCAAAGCGTAACACTGGAATTAGTCTTCAAAGGCACAATATGTACAGCTATATCTCATCCACTACAGACTTCAAAGTAAAGTGCACCATCATCCTATACATTCACATACATGATGACACTGTGACACAATATTGTATATGGTACACAGCACAGGCCTTTGCCCTGTTCATGTCCAAAAGTAGCTAATTGTTTTGTGTGGATACAAGAGATGATTCCTTCTTGTGATGCTAATTCATGTGCTTGCATCTCCTTGGAGCCAATACTGCTGAAATTGTTGCAAATGATAACAGAAAACAAAATGAACATGTAATAAATACATAAATAACAAAATAAATATATTGTGACGTGCATGTTGTTTTTAATTCAGTAACTATATAAGCAGTATTCATGCTTGAGGAAGAGACATTGTGTTTTTTGTGTGGCAGATTACATAAAATCCAGTCAACTTTTAAAACTTACAGATGTGTAATTGTTAGTTATAATTTACAGATAAAGAAATGTTAAATTTCTCTAACTACAACATAAAGGAACAGTGTTTGTTTTTATAATGCCAGTACAGTACAAAAGGACTATAGTTATCAAAACAGATGAATTTGATTTTGAAAGTGGGTTACTCTTTGTGCTTGTTCTCTTCCACTGACCAAGACCAAACCGAGGTCCCACCCTCCCCAACACACATACAAACACACAAACTTGAGGCCCATGAATCATTTTGGAATATGCAGGACTTCCAAGGTACTGGGTGATTTGGAGATCCCAAACCAGCCCCAGAGATACATTAACAGCCCTTGTTGAGAGGACAGATGGACCAGTTCTCCACTGAACTTCAGGCTGGGATCTATTCACAGGCCAACTTGCTGTCAAAGCTGGAAAGCGCAATGGCAAAGGCTTGCAGGGCACACATTGGGTAGTTATAGTCCATGGTGAACACATCCTCTGCCACGCGACCAAACTGCATCACAATGTAGTCGGCTGCAGAGGAGAAGAACCAGGAAAACAGATTTTGGACAAGCTGCTTTGAAACAATATTATGACCTTAATTATGGAGACCTAAAGCATTCAGTATCAAATAATAAATGTGTTATTGTGAAACAAATAATTCATCCATAATGAATAACTTCAGGCTGATTGCATCAGAGTTATGACTGTGCATTTTTACCCACCTTCCCTAATCAAAATGTATCACACAACTCTTTTCTAGTATACTATGGTTTATTTGTCTTCAACGTCTTTGTGATGCACTGTGTGTTCTGACACCTTTCTATCAGAGCTGCAGTTTGGAGATGCTCTGACCCAGTCATCTAGCCATCACAATTTGGCCCTTGTCAAAGCCGCTCAAATCCTCACGCTGCCCATTTTCCCAGCTTCTAACACATCAACCAAACACTGACTCCAACCAACCAACTGCCAGTCACATAATTTGTTCTACCCTGTTTGTCTCAAATGAAAGACAAAGACTTAAAAAGAGACATCATAAAATAAACACGGCAAATGTACAAAACATGGATCTGGATCTGTTCATTGTAGTTAAATTGTACGGTTTGTAACTCACGGTCGTTGTCGTGAATGATTTGGAAATTCTTGACGGAGGCCTGAGTGACTCTGCCGTGGAAGTTGAGCACATAGGATTGTGTGTCATCGTTCCACACAGGCGTCTTGTTGTGAAGTTCAATCACGCTCTCTGTGTTCTTGTTCTGCCACCTGGCCAGCAGTGACTCATGGTCCTGTAATGAAGAAGAATAGAATTTGGTCGAGCACATCATAGACATCAGATCAATTATATTAAGTATTAGAAGAGGTTAGATTGGTCAGCACAGATGTGGCTATTGAGAAATTAGGGAACACACGTTTCGTGGGCGAATAGACACTCTCTCGTGGTCCATGTTCATTCCAGGAATGATGACGCTCATTTTGCGAGGTCCTTTGAATCCTAAGACATTGGTTTCCTAGAGTGAGAAGATGATAAAGTGGAAATAAACTTTCAAAGCTTTAATAAAATATGACGCTATGATAATATTATATTAAATATCAATTTTGTCACATATCATCTGAAACTGCATTGAATAAAATACACATTTTTATCACAGCAGGAGACAAATGTACCATTATCAATCTGAATTATACATGGCATCTACTTTTCTACATATAATATATGTTCTTTGTTGAATTACTTATAGTTATAGCCTTAATAGGCATGCTATGTTACTGTGGACTATTAAAGTTATCTCTGTTTGCAAATAATCCTCTTTAAAACTTTCAATTGGATTTATACATGCTTTAATGATAACTTGATTTCAACCTCCCTATGGCAATGCCCTGCCTCTTCAGTTTGTTGCATGGGTGTCTTTATCTGATTATCTGAGTTAGACTCTCTAAATGGAACTGTGCATTTCAAAGGCCACCAGACACATTAACCTGGATGCTGTATTTAAAGCAAATAAAATTACATATACTTCTGATATTACATCATACATGTAATGTGCGTTATAAGACAAAATACATTACTTCAAACCATGTAAGCCCCAACCAAGTATATGTAATTACACTGAATTATCATGTATCTTATAATTAACTTTAACTTAAAGTTTAATTTGTCTTCAAATACATAAAAAAAAACTACTCAGGGTTAAGGAGCATTTTGACCCACTCACATAGCAAATGGCTGCTAGCTCTTGACGCAGGTTGCTAGCTTCGAGGCTGGTGGTACTCTTCATAGGGTTCAAACCGCTGTCGTATACAGTGAACTTAGTTCCCATGAGGTTAGACCTGCAAAGAAAACATAACAGAATGACAAGGTTTGATGGTTGGTGTGAGTGTGTGTTGGTGTGGTTGAAAGAAAAAACACAGGAAGAGTGGGGCTCTTCCCAGTGTATCTCTGTATGACTAATGTGTATCCAGATTTTGTAATAAGATAATGATGGATGCTCTGGGTATGAATATGAACTGCTATATTACAACAACAAATAAACAGTAATAGTGCCCAACTTGTGATTGTTGACTGATTCCTCTGATAAAAGTAATTTATTTAGGAGCTGTTCATCATGCAAGCTAACTAATCAACTGATAGGATGGAGGAAACTGCTTTGAACCTTTTCTTTTTTATTAAAACAAAGACCATACACAAAAACAATCTAAGAATGAGAAGAGATTAAGCTATTAGCTTCTGTAATTTCCATCTGCAGTCCCTGGGTAGGTACAAACAGAGCAATCGCCAGACACTTAAAACCATTCATGTAGATGCAACAAGATGTGTGTGTGTGTGTGTGTGTGTGTGTGTGTGTGTGTGTGTGTGTGTGTGTGTGTGTGTGTGTGTGTGTGTGTGTGTGTGTGTGTGTGTGTGTGTTGGCTTTAAAATTTAAAACAACACACACACAACCTTTTTTAAATGTTAAAGCCTACTTCATGTCATTCTAGCTCTTGCGCTCTGATGGAGTTTGTTCTTGTGGGATTGGTGGCCTGGCTTCCCAGCATGAGGATGTTAGATCCAGATCCTGACAATGAGTCATCACATTGCAGAGGAAAGCAAGTGACCAGTGCTTTGCTTTTAAGGGACTTCTTATCCGAGATGAAGCTCAAAACAAGCTTGTTAATGATTATTTACAATGTAAACAGATATCATACCTATGTTATGAAATAGCATGTTTGTATCTACTATAAATAAAGGACATGTTCTACTGATCCTGACTTTAGACACTGCCTCCAGTGGGGAAGATGCTGCACTATACTTCTGCTATTATATTTACAGCGTCACTAATGGTGCTTCCTCATAATATGGCCGTATCCACTTGTTTTACACATATCCAAGAATATATTCCAGAATATAGCCTTTACACTTTCTGATGATTTCTCACAGAACGTAACAGTATTTACTGGTCATTTCTATACTGCACAGCAAGCCAATAGTGTCAAATCTAAGGGCACTTTTCACCATGAGCAAGTATTCATGGTGGGAATTCACCATAATTTCACACAGGTATTCTCACACCGTGACCTTTTTATCACACATCTGATGCTTATTTTGCTCTGTTTGTGTTTCTCAGTCATATTCATACTAATATGAATGACTGACCTCCACCACAGAGCTTTCATCCAAATACACACCAGAGCAACCAGTGACCCAGTAGTTGCCTGTAGTGGTTTATATGGATGCATTGTAGGTAAGTAGCATGCTTTCACAATGGCTTTTCAAAGCCACAGCTTGAAACTGAATGTATACCTCTGACAGGCCATACCACATTTAGTCCTTGAGGGGGACTCTTGAGAAGCACTAGATGAAAGGTCACTGTTCATTTAAATTTAGATCTCCATCAATCAAGTGAGATTGTGATTGCAAAGGTTTGAGCAGTGGATCGACCAATGGTCAGGCCAGCTCCGAAGATTAAAGGCTGCACAGAGCCATATTTGATTAAACTCCCCAGGAGTTTCCATGGAGCCACTAACGCAGCCTTGAAGCTGTCTCTAAAGATTATGTCACTACTTACTTCCTACCAATCTTACTGTGGCCTTGCTGTGATTTACATCTAATGTATATTTATGAGAAAGGTATATAGATGTTTTTCCAAATTATACATTTTCATTAGCTAAAAGAGTACAGGACATTAAGTTCTTCTACTAAATGGTGTGGGTAACAATATAAATGTGCTATTCAAGTTTTATTTGTTAAGTATTCATAAATTACATTTAGATCCTGATTTGTTAATTAATCATTCCTTAGTAGATACTAAGAATTTATGAATGAAGGAATGGTGCTCCGAATGTATTTCAGTTATTTACACATGGAAATGTATTCTAGTTTGATTAAATAGCCATTAATAATAATAAATAAATTGTATCAACACTAAATATAAGGCCTAATACAAAGTATTTAAATAAGGAATCATCTACAACACATGATTCCTCAGTGAATATAACTTCTGATGTGGACTTACCTCAGTTTACCAATGAAGCTCTCTCCACCTCGAGACAGATCAGTGGGATCAATGGAGATGAGGTAATTCGATGTTTTACTCTTTTTCCTCTTCCTGCCAGCTAACAGGAACACCTGTGACAAGCCAAGCCATAAACCAGAAATATGAGCTTCACAAATACACTTAAAGACTAGACTTTATTTGTACACACACAGCTTAAAACTATGAAACAATTGTATATTTTGTGTCTTTTGTATATTTGACATTATACACAGTGTTTACCAGAGAAAAACCGGTATGTCTTAAAGAAATTCTTTGCACTCTTTTTACTAAACCTTTCATTAAAGTTAACCTTACAGAAATGTTACACAATAGTTAATTTTGCAAAGTTTTCACGATGTTTGATACTTTGCAGGTGTTTAGAATGATAAATTCTGCTGTTGTTTACAGCAACACTGTGACTGCTCCCTGACCCTTCTCACCTTCTTGCCGTCCTCTCTCTCCAGATGAAGGTAGTAGGTGGGATACATGCCTCTGTCCATGCCCTTCTTGTCTCTGGTGATTCTGCACTTCACTCTGACCCCCTGGGGTGCAGGTCGCAGAGAAAACTCCTCAAGGTCATCTACATCAATTGCAGGTTCATTGACTGGCGGGGTGGGTGCGGATGCTACCTCCTGTGGGTGAAAACAGCCCACACAGGGCAAGACCCCTCGTCAGATTGTGGACTAGTGAGTGATGCATTACATTTGACTTTCATTAGAACAGAGAAATGAGTCTGAAGATCAAATCGCCCACTGGGACTGAGAATGAGCACACAGTGTCTAAAATAAGGATCTGGTGTAGAGACGGAAGACAGAGTTGACTGAAGGGAAAGATAAGAGTGGAATGAGATGATGGTTATCGTAAGTACAATGCCAGAGTACAGATGCAGCAAAGAGGTTTTTTTTAAAGAGGGTTAGAGACCTGTGTCATCCATTATCACACCTGGAAAGCTCGTTGATTTCAAGTGTTCAGAAGTATGCAAAATAACAGCCAACAACACATTCTCTTAATAGTGTGTTTGATTACATAAATTGCACATGCACAGTGCTTACACTCATAGAAAATAACAGTTTGTTCCTTTCAAACTCCAAGAGGCGCATAAGATGTTCATATTAGATTATTGTTCCACCACCTGCATGCGGTATCATCTGCACTCTAGCATGCACAGCAAAATTACTTTGAGATGACATCTGTGTAAATAAATGGCAGGCCAGAAATAGCAAAAGTACCAAATAATTCCAATATTATCTGTAGAAGAAAAAAGAAAAGCCAAAAGGCAACTGCATCTTTGTAAGGTCTATTACTGTACTTTCAGCCATGACACTTAGATACAGTTTTTAATGGAGTCAAGCTGAGCCACAAAATAGAATCTACTTTTTTTCTTTTGCACGTTATTCACTCGGTTGCTGGGCAGAATAAAGACACATTATGCAAAGAGTATAAATGTGTGCTGTGAACTTTTATACTGTGAACATTTTTACCTTGCATGACTTCTTGCTTGTGGCAGAGCCTGGTCTCGTGTTGCTGTTGAGCTGTGAGGAACTGGAGCTAATTTCATCTTCATCGTCCTCTTCTTCATCAAAATTCATACTGCTGGATATACCTTCACAGACAAAAGAAAAAAAAGATAGAAAAAAAGAAAGAGGTGTCACTGCTGTTAATTGGTATCATGAAAAGCTGCAAGCAGTACTGTCAATCATCTCTTGTAATACATTACCTCGTCAGGCATAGATGACTGGACATCTATGTTAAGGAGGTATAATGTTACTTATTTGGTGCCAAACAATACTGTGACTGAAGACTACATTTCAAGCTGGTCCACTTGAGGCTGTGTTTTAAGCTCTCTGGAAATGTGAAAAGGAATTGCTTATCTAGTGTTAAGTTGCAAATTATAGCCCTGCATAATAAGGGCACGGTTGTTGCAAGGTATTTGATTTTGCAAAGAAATAACCAGAAAAGAAATCTTTTCCACAGCAACCATTTTGACATGAAATAGTAGGGTAACTACAGGTATTACCAATGATAATAATTAAAGTCCTGTTCCATTCAGGCCAAACAGAGTCGGGGTGCTGCTACTGTGCATGTTGGCTCACTGGAAAGGCTCCGCTACACTGAATGGAACAGTGCCTTAATTAGTGTCATGGGTAACGCCTGTGATTACCCTACTATAAAAGCAATGTAATGAGTTGAAAGGGTAACTTATTGTGTCATGATAAGACAGTAACAATATTTATATGAACATAGCCATCATTCTTCATGTTAAAGTCCAAAATTTAATAATGGATTTCCTTCCAAAATCTGTTTCTACTATTGCTAAAATAAAACAAAACAAACAAAACCTGTAGCTGTGTCCCAAAATTACTCTCTATTTGCAATGTGGCGCACTATATTTATCCTCTTCCATTTTATCTGTGTCCCAAGTGTAGAGTATAGTGTATGCTCTATAATATTCTCCGAAATTCATTCAAGAAACAATATAAATAGTATCCATAGCATGTACACTACTTTTTGGTAAAAATCTTACACTGGATGTGTAAATAACAGTTACACAACACTGTACAGTCAGTGAAGGCACAAAACATGATGATTTACACACTAAGTATCCAAAAGCTTACTAAAAAGAAAGACTATTGTTTATTATGTAAGGAATAATGATACTAGTAATCAGTGTTTACAGTAACTCTTTTGTTTTTAGAAACAAAGATTATGGTGACAGAAAAATATGTCAGCGTCATACATTAGTGTCAGAATTATATCATTCAGATGCTTGGTCTTAAAATGGCATTTCTATTTGCAGTTGCAAGTTCTAACATGATTCAGTGTGTTTCACCCTCCTACCAACACGCCACAGCAGTGGACCAGAATGTCGTGGGTGTAAATATGGACTCGTGGTTGTGTTGTTGCAGATGCAGTGACAGAATCTCTGTTGAATGCTGACAGTACCTTTCTTGAGCATGGTGACGCGCAGATCCTGTTTACTCTGTGACTGGGTGCAGCTCATAACAGGCTCTGCGTCGCCCTCCTCTGTGGTGTTGTGACCCACTGTTAGGATCTGGATCTGACTGTCATCCTGCTGGGATGCCAGGCCATCGATCGCTGCTGAGCCAAAATCCCACAAGAACAAAGTCCATCAGAACAATTCAAAAATCAGTATCTCATGTTAGCGTAGAGTGAATGGCCAAATGGATCACAGTAAAGTAAAACAAAGACAGTAGTTACCATAAAAAAGCTACAAATTAGGCATGCAGTCAATACTTGCCTGAGTAAATGTGATAACATTTCTACATCTGCGCTTTGATGAATGTGGGGGTGTTTTGTGCTCTGTTCTTATGCCTTGAGTAATTGTTTCCCTAACTGTCTTTACAATTAAATTAGCTTCTAATGTGTAAGAGGAAGAACATTATGTCAGTGCAGCTCCAGGCATTCAAGCACAGTTCAATGTTAAATGCAGTGCTGGTTGTTTTGTGGAAATCCCAGATTTGGTGCAGTGTTGCTTATAATGAAATATATTTTTGTATAACACAATTGTCTAATCAGTTGGTTTCTAATGTGGCCTCTTGCCCCTTTTTGCCTGTCTTCAAAGATGTGCATGGATTTTTTATGGAATTACACTGAATTTCAAATATGGAGACATGCTGTTTCATCAGACACTAGATTTGTAGAAATATAAGAGCATGGACAAATTTGTTGACATATTTATGACTGATTCTGACAGATTAGTCAATATCAGTCTGTAAGTGTAAAAACAACTGGTGTATTTTATTCAAGGATTAAAGTTGCTGAAAGCGTTGCTAAGTAGAGGTCAATCTGTGTTTGTTTAATTAAATTTGGGTTTTGTTTTGTATCCCAATTAACATTATTTAACCAGTCTTGTGCTGGATATTTAATTTCAGATGTAGATATTTTATTATGGAACAGTTGTTTTAGTATGTGCTGGGTAAAATATCTCTCCTGAAACTTTGTGCTTGTGCTTGAGAGTGAGACACAGAGAGAGTGAGACAGGTCCATCAGTGGTGAGTTTGGTGCTATTGACCTGATTAATCTTTTACCCCAGTGGAATCCCATACATTTTTTTTCTGGGACAAAGTCATTCCAAAGATGAGCATCTACTATATTGCGCTAGATCAGATGACAAACATCTGTAATGTCAGAAATGTGTATATACAAAGGTTGAGTTTGCTTGATCAGTTCCTTATTGTTCTGCAATAATGATTTTGTGTTTAGAGTTCAGTCTGGAATAACATACTGTGAATGCTGAAAAAGCAAGGAAGCAAAGGAGACCAATCAAAGTATAGTTGAATACACCATTTCAACACTCAGTTTTCCTCTACCATCTAAAGACTAATTTATGTCTCTACTTGTGGTGTGTCAGCAGGCTGACAGCACTCAGACTGTCATACATCATTACAGACAGTTGAGCTCTGACAAGCATGGCACTGCAGCAGTGGCTAAGAGGGCAGCTTCACTGGCGGTGTTTGTTGCCAGATGTGGCTTCAAAAATCAGCAAGCAAACTATTATCTGAGGCCCGCGAAGAGGGCTTGAATAGACAGTTGCAGCTGCTGGATAATAAGGATTTTGTCTTTTCTCTTTCATACTGTCTGCTTCTGATGACTTAAATCTGCTGTTTTCTCAAACATGAATACATAAAGACCAAAAACAATATCTTTTAATTCTTAATTTGGCAAAAAACAATACATATAGTATTTTGGTGTGTTTATACTGTAGATATCTACGGTCTATTTTGTATTTTTTGTCGACTTTTACCTTTTCTAACCACCTCTTCTATAATTCAGTCGGTCTGTCAGTTTTTTTTTGCCTGTTCATTCATCTTAGTTATATATATTTTTCACTCTGTCTGACTACCCATTTGTCTTAATATTGACAGACTGACCTTTGTGCTTCCCCTTCCTCTCCTTCTTGTCGCTGCCTGTCTGTGGAGTGGAGCTGGCCGATGCTTTGCCCTTTTTGGCTGAGCGAGGTGGCTGCGTGTCCGCTATCACCTTCACCTCCTCCTGTTCAGCTTCTTGCACTTAACACAGGGATGGAGAGGACCAGCGGGACAGAAAATGAGATAAATGGAACTGGCAAGGGCAAAAAATAATTTGGAAATATTAAGTTTGCAGACAATACATTTTTTTTATACTATATAATAGTTAATACAGAGCAGTGTTTTTCTTCTCATGATAATAAGGTTATTATTCCCCTTCTTTCCATCATAAGATTAGCCGACATTTTGTCAATATATTTTCTCTTCTCTCTACATGAATGTGTCATTTCGTGGCCTTGAGCCCAGAAACTGGCCCCCAGAACCAGGGATTAGTAAGCTGCTCTGGTCTCTGTGTGTAGATAAGAAGACCTCATCAATCCCAGTCCTAAAACCATTTCTGCTCTCGAGTTGATAGATTTGCAACACAGTGCCAGCGCCTGCAATAGATGGTATAGTATGTTGTATTGGGTCTACATGGGCTCTAATTTAAAATGGTAATAATAGCAACGTTTTTTGAATTTTTTATTATTAAACTATTTCTATAGTTTCTGTTTGGAGATTGTGCCACTTGTAGCATACAGTTTGAATTGGGAAAAGATATAAAAACTGCATAAGAATAAAATAGCTTTCAGCCCAAGAACAAATACCTCCAGCATATAAGACAGATTCAGCTTTATTTGTTCAATCCATGTTTTTCTTAAATGCTCTGTTTGATCTTTCTGAATCAACAGAGCCGTAGAGGAGTGTCAGTCTTACTTACCGTGGTAGATGGTGCTGCTGTTGCTGCTGAGGTAGGATTCCACCAGCGGAGCCTGTTCCTCGCTCTGTTTGGTCCGGCGGGTGCGAGATCTCCCGTCCACATTGGACTGGACCATCAGAGGCTCCTGCCTCTTTTTCTTCTGCTTCTGTTCTAGGAGCGCTCGCTGTTGTGGAGGTTTCATGAATGTGTTTGAATGCATGCAGACACACCGAGATAGAAATAAAGGGAATGATTACATCACAGACTCCTATTATACATCATTATAAGGAATAAATTAAGTTCAAACAATATACAGAGGCATTGAAGTAAGCACCCATTTCTTCATTGAAGAAAAACCTCTGTATTTGTGTGGCCATATTGACCAAACATGTAATGAGAAGAATAAACGAGTGCATATGAATATACAAAATGGACTCACCGAGTGATTAGGTAATAATGTAGCTGCAAATTGTATCCTCAATTACATCCAGTAAACCATTTTAACATATTCAAGAGGCAAACCTTTCTTCTCCTTTTCTTATGAAAAAGATAGCTCTTCATACATAATGAAGAACACAAAATAGTTTTCCATTTTAAATCATTTGTGATTATCATTAATGAGCCCTTGCAGGTTTTCTTGTAAGCTATCTTCACACTGTAGCTGAGTGGCAATAATGCAGTCTTAAATAAATTTGTCAAGACAGGAGAACAATCTGAAGATGTTTAAGGATGTGCTACCTGAATAGCCTGACCTGAGGCTGGATATAGCTATTCATCTGAGGTAACTCTCAGCCATATGCAAGTCTTCAAACCAGAGCTCATCAAATATTGAAGGTTTCTATTAGTGGAGCAAGCTGCAGAGGATTGGAGCACTACAGTATCCCACGTAAAGCTCACATCTTTGCCAACTCAGTGATAACAGTAGGTGCATTTTGTGCTTCAAATAAACTTTGGCATAAAAGGTTTGAAATGCACCGCTACACGCTCCCTAAGAGGTCGAAAGAGACGGTTTGTTTTTACAGCACACTATATTTTAAACTAAAATAACAGAAATCACTTGAGTGAGGAGTAAAGCTAAATGTGATACATTTTCATGCCCCATTAAGTCATTAATCCAAACATTTCTTGGCTTTATTTTGATCAATAAGGCTATTAATTAATAAAAAAAGATGTGATATGATAGTTATATGGCTAATTATAGGTTAAACTAAGGTTAACTAGATTAAGAATAGTATTTTTAATCCATTCCAAGTATGGATGAAAAGCAGTTGACTTGCATGTGAAACAGACCACCTGGAAGGCCTTCCCATTGATTAATCAGGAAAAGACTGCAGGAGCGTTTGATTCTGTAGTCAGAGACTACAGTTAGAGACTACAGAATCAAACATGAGTACTTGCCTCATATTAGCGGGTCAGAAAAATAGCTGGACATCAGACAGAAAGAACAGAAAATGATTGAACTGCAGCCGAGGCATGCTTGTCTTGTCAGTGTTGCTTGCAACAAACAATGACAACAGTTTGAAGAGTGTGAAGCTGCCAAAGGTCAGTTTTATTGAAGGATCCTGTGGTCCTGTATCGCTCTAACTCATGATTTATTTTATCACTGAATGAGGAAATAAAAAATGGTTTTTGAAAATAATCATGTCCACACGCCCAGAAATGTTAAGAGAAAGGGAAACACGTGTAAATCGTGAGATGTCCATCAGTGAGAGGAGGAATCTGATCATGCATACAATCATGCATGAGTATAAATGATGCTGATACTATTTGTATAATTCCTTTTAACAAAACACTTGGTATAATATAACAACTAAGCAGTTTTATATTATTTTATCTACTTTGTTTGGTAACCAAAAATGTTGAAGTGATTACTTGCTACATTGGGTATTGGATATCAAGAATAATATAATCTAAGTTATAACAATGTTGAATCATTTGAAAGGGAGATAGGTTTGTCAGGCACTGACAGAGCAATCTGTTTCCATTTATTTTTATTCTATTAGTATGAAACATGTTTCTATTTTTCATCCAATGGACACAATGTTTAATAATTTGAAAAACACAATTTAAAAACATTTGGTTTAATACTGCTTGACATTGGGTTTTTCTACATGTTATTTATTGGAATCTTCAAGGGCCTTACACACACCATCTAATTAGAGCAAGGCTCAGAGAGATAACAAGTCCTAGCTGACCATTTGCATCCCCATGATGGAGCAGCGGAGGTTTGTGTCATGATAAAACTACCCAGTTATAATTGATTTTGCCTTTGCGTTACTCTATCATCAGAACAACAGGAGGAACAGCACAAGACTCACCTGTCTGTCTAGTTTCTGCTGTCGGAGGTTGGTGCTCTCGTCATCTAAAGTGCTACGAAGAGAAGAGCAAAGAAAAGGGGGGAGGGTGGCGGTGTTAAACATGCTCCTCAACTGTTTATGATGTTTATAATATAATAATGACATTTTCCAAACTGCTTTAGTTTGTTCACTTGGTACTCTGAAATTGCAATAGACCATTCCACACTTACAGCATATGACTGTATTTTAGTTTCATATATATGGAAATGAAGCTTGTTGTGGATTTCAGGAAACATTTGTTTGTGCTGCAAGACATTTTGTTTTCACACTGAAACCTAAATTACCCTCATGGTTGTGTTTACTACTGCACACTCAAAATGCATTGGTTCATTATTCCCTGAAAAACAAACAAAATCTATTCATGGAAAACAGTTAATATATTTGTTTTAAATGAGTATACTGTGTGCATTCTAATCTTCAGCACAACTGAACACAACAATGTAGGACTACAGGCAGAAAGATTTTCTTAGAGAAGCCTTATCTTGTGTGTATGCACTTAGCTTGTATATATTTTGATTACTTGCTTATGCACTTAATGAATATACTATATCCAGCCACACTATCTAGTTCACTAATTTACTTTATGTCAAAATTATGTTCAGATTTTGGTTTAAATATACAAAGCTTCAGATACAAAGTCCAACAATAAAAACACACCAGTCCGTTGCAGAGTAGGTGTAAAAGGTAACAGGGCAGCTGAGCTAACAGTGTCATAGTGTCTTTGATAAAGGTGTAAATTAATTCCCATATGCATTGCTTTAAAAAGTTGCAGCAGAGATTTTGCAAAGGTGACAAGAAGGTGTTGAAAAACCAAGAGTGACAGTGACTGGAGGTGCATGTGCAGATCTCCTCAACTGTGTCAACAGACATTAAGCCATACTGCAGCAGCAACAACAGCAACATTGTCACTGTTTTTCTTAACACTTGTACCAGTGAACATATGGACAGCAGCGTCTGTCATGAGACAGGCAGACACAGAGGGTCTCGTGATCGTGGGTGTCATATGCTGTACAGATTGCAAAGCCGTTTGAGGCACATTCATGATTTTGGCCTACATATAAACAAAATGGACTCTTCTTGATTTGACATTCCTTGTCGCAGAGTATATTGAACTGTTTTTACTTCATTCACTAAGAACAGCACCTGCGTTCAGCTTCACAGAGGCCACAGTTTTCACAATTGAAAAAAAAAAATCAAAAGATCTATGGAAACCGCTGGAAGTCCTTCTGCTGCATCATTCACCTCTCAAAGTCCATATGCTTGTATGTTCCAATATATACACTATCGCCCTCTTGAAGCTTCAGTGGAAACTGTGTCATTATTGGTGAATCCGTTATGAACATTATCAACTGAATAATAGCTGTTCTTCTTCCTTCTCAGAAAGACCCCTCAGAAACCTCAATGGTTCCTAATTAGAGGGCAATGGGATGTTTTCTCCAAGAGAGCTGGAAACAATGAGCTACAGTGGAAAAGGATGAAAGATGGGAAGGGGTGTCTGCTGATGTGTGATGAATGAGAAAATTATAATGTGTTTTTTTTTCCAGATCTCTTAACTATTACTAAAATTACTTTGTTTTGTAAAGATGAACTTTTTTACATGCAGATGCATATGTGTTTTCCTTACACGTCCTTTTCCTTTTTTATTCAGTCTGCCTTTTAAAGGGTATTATATATACAGCTTATGACACAGGCACCTAATTATCATTCTGCATGTTCTTAATGAATGAAGTCTCATATTCTACATTCTATTACATTCTAATACATTTATTTATAAAATCTATGTTTTACTCTCAACAATTATAAACCTTTCATGCATATTGCCTGAGGATGTATAAATAACTTTACAATCAAATTATATATGTCCATATAGGTGCACATATGTATAATCTGGTTGATAATGAAATACTGACAAGTAATTGCAGGGCTGATGGTTACAATATAAAAATAGAAAGCATTTCCAGTTTTGTATAAGAGTTATAATGGTCAATTTTTTACTTGTCAATTTGTTATCTCTCAGCTTGATTAATGGCAACTGTGGCAAATCTGTTTTCGTTTCCCATTAAGTCTTACTGGTTCATAATAAATAAAGCCAACAGGTGGTTTGTCCTCATGGTTGATGAGCCTTTTTACACTCTTTACACCTCTGTCAAAAGACTGAATGCAACAGTGACTGTGGATAGTCAGTACTGCAGCTATAGCATGTAACATCAGTCAATTAATATTTAGTCTACCTGTATCTCTGCACTACCGACTCTGGTTTGACAACAAAAGCCCACACAGATGCAATACAAATGTATTTACCTCCCACTCTCTGTCAGACGTACAGACAAACAAAGCACTCCATGTCTGCAATCAGAGTAATCAAGTGTGTGAATAGGCATCAGACAGGAAGATAATGACACAAACAATACTGTTCCAGTGGAGGTCAAACAGCTCATTATTGTCGAGAGTCTCTGGTCACTCTTGTCCTGGAACACACCAATGGTGAGATTTACAGGAACCTTTATATTCTGTTAAAGGACTAACTATGTATCGACTGTAATGCAGTGCAACTGAAACTCAAGGTGTAAATGATCTATGTAATGACAAGGCATAACACTGACTAGTTAAATTCCATCAACCATCACGACATTTAAAACCTGCTTGAAAAAAAACGGACAACACACTGAAATTTAAAAAAATGTTTTAAATGTTTTAATAAGATCACAGAAATTACACTAGAAGGATGAAAACATCCAATATAAAAAAGTAAGGCTGTGCACACTTAGGTCCCAAGTATTTACTGATAATGCAAAGATTTTGGTAACTATACATTCATTACCTGGTCTAGTGAACATCTAATGAAGGAAAGCTTGTATTTATGCATTGTGTGCAGAGCCTTCTTTTTATATGAAAACTGAGAATCTAAATTATATTTTGAAGCAGCTGAATTATTTTGTTGCTTTTTGATCTCAATATGTTTGAAGGCAAATGTTCTGATTCATCACACTGTATGCCCATATTACGTGTATTTGTTAAATTAATATTTTTTTTACTAATATCTACAGTGGATGGCTGTGGCTCAGAGGCAGAGCGGGTTGTTCCTTAATCGGAAGGTCGTGGGTTCGATCCCCGGCTCCTGGTGCCACATGCCGAAGTATCCTTGAGCAAGATACTGAACCCCAAATTGCTCCTGATGCCGTAAATGTGTATGAATGTTAGTTTCTGTTCGATGGACTTTGCCATCACTGAGTGAATGTGTGTGAAAGGTCTCACATACTGTAAAAGCGCTTTGAGTGGTTGGAAGGCTAGAAAGGCACTATACAAGTACAGGTCCATTTAAACTGTACCTTATATATCAAGTTTGAGACAACACTGTTTACAAGCTGATGATGCTGTGAAATTCAGGACTGATTTTGATCTAACAAAAACAATTTTTTTTAATTTATTCTGACTAACTAACTATTAAAAGTTTGATTTGGACACCAAAATTTTCATTAACTCAGCCAGCCACAAGTGAATTTGGCAGTCAGGGGAGGGAAGGATTTGACTGTTATCAGTCACGGAGACTCCTCTTCACACTTTTAAAATAGTTTTCTGTGCATCACCAGGTTTTATATGTGTGACAGTCATTGGCTGATGATTCTGCAGCAGCACCCGGCAACGACGGAGGACAATCCAATATGCACACAAAAGCATGTTTAATTGTCATTTGCATGGTGCGAAGCGTGAAATTTGATTGTGAGAAAATTAATCTGATGAGCACTGCACAGACCCAAACTGACCTTGGTAATGAAAGTAAAAACTAAAGCTAATATTGACACAATGTGACAAGACTAATACAGATAACAGCATTAAACAACCTATGCATTACATTAACCAGATTCAGGTAAGATTTTCTGAAAAGGTAATGTAAAATAATTGTAAATGCATTTTTGACAATATATCAATTTCACCTTTCCTTTTGTCAAGAGCTTACAGTTTCTGCTTTCCTCCCTGTGTTCCCATCTCAGAGAGAAAACAGAAAGAGAACAAGGGATTTGCACAAGTCTTCCACTACTGAAATGCAAATCATTTGCTCCCCGCAGAGAAGAGCTACTGTACAACTGCTGTTTCTTTGTTGATGTGTGTGTTTGTGAGATATGTCTCCTTCATTTTGTGAATTTCTGTGAATGCATGCACTGTATAAATCTAATGAGATGAGAGAGCTACACAGTGCAGCTGTCTCCTCCAACTCTGCACAAGAGGTCCATGCATTTTTCATGGGCGCTTCACGGGATGAGAAAAACTGCTCATTTAGAAACCACCAATCTCTCTGTCCCCAATGGCATACTTCAAGATATAAATTTGGAAACTGATAGTGGTTAATGTCTTGTTTAAATGATTTTGTTACCCACCATTCAAATTCAAAAATTAGCTTTTAGTGCCTCTTGTCTTAAAACAAAAAGTGAATGGTCGAGAAGGCCAAAATGCAAAATGACCCAAGTAATACAGCTTGTTGTTCGCACCACTGCATCAGTCATGGAATAATTCTGTGTGTTTAAAAGTCAATCTAATGATTTCATAAAATACTTTTGCTTTAACCTTTATTATTCTGTGTTAAAGGTTGGTCTTTTCCAGAAGTTTAAAATAAATTCCACACAGATCACTTTCTGCTGTCATCCTGACGCAGTCTCATTCTGAAATTCATGGACTGCCACTGTAACTTATAGCAACCGTGAGCCAATGGCATCAAAGTAAGCAGGGAACCATGGCAATGGGTATTCAATCAGAGGAAAGAACCAACAGCATTAGTAGGACTGCACTTGAAATTATTAAAGGTATAGGTTTCACAGCAAGAGACTATAAGGTCATTTACACTTGCATTTTCGTTAGTTGCTGCTACAAATTATTGGAATGATATTCCCAGCATAATGCAATATAGATCATTTTTGCACACATGCATGCAGACATGCACATAAAGCACACACTTGCACACGAAAGGCGGGAACTTCCTCAGTGATGTACTATATGACCTACATCCTACATTCATGATGACATTCCAGTGAAACTACTACTTTTGAATCCAATAAAACAGCACTGTTTCTGAATGACATCATATGCAGTTGTACACATGAACAATATATTAAGGAGAGAGAATATTTTTCTGCCTGTGAACCAAATTGAGACCTGAAATCCAGGAATTCATTCAAAAAAGAGCCTCATCATTTTTCATGTTCATATTATGCCATTAAAGAAAAAATAAAATCCAGTTTCCATCCACAGTGTTTGTTTTTATTGTGCCAATTCAATGTTACCGTTATCAGTGTGATCTCCTTGTCAGACACTCACATGACTGAACACCCGCTCAGATACACAAACACACACACTGCTTCAAAAAGATGAACACTGTGCCCTCTCCTGTGTTCCCAGGAATGTGGTACAGTACCTGTAGGGGATCCAGTCGGAGGAGTGCTTGGAGCTCATTCTGTATCAATCACTCTGACCGCTGCTTCCTAACTGTGAGGCTAACGGCCTGCAACAGCACCAGTGCAAGTAGCTACGGGGTCTGAGGACAGCGATCACAGCCAGAGAGCCCACATCGCCTGTTCATCATCTGCACACAGCCCTATATCCACAGCCCGCCTGTGTTCCTTCGTATGTCCTCTAGCTGTAGGGCAGCAGATGACTAACAATCCAGACAGACAGCCGCACTCCTCAGTCATGCACACTGAGCACATGAAATAGCCGTTTTCTTCTCTCCCATGTGTACGCTTCCAGTCAATGCCTCTCCTCTTCTCTTCTTCTCCCATCGACCGCCTCTGCTCCTGCTCTGTACTGGCTCTCTTCCCTCGCTCTCACTCAGTAGGCTCTATCTAAATCTCCCTCCGTTTCTTGCCCTTTAAATCCCCCCCCCCTCCCCTCCCGTTCCTTCCTTCCTCCCTCTCTGTCCAAATCTCACTCCGTGCCTCTCTGCCCAATCTATCTCTCGTTATCTCTTGTGCAGCATCACCTACAGCAGCATCGAGTGCTAAGCCTTGAGCAAAAAAGGTTATAGAGATTCCCCTTTGTCTCTCCTCTTTGATGTTCTTTTTATTCTATTTCTGCACACTGCCACCCCCCTACTCTATACACACACACACACTCTCTCTCTCTCTTTTTCTGACACACTCTCTGTATCTTTCTTGCCTGTGTTGCATGAGGCATGTAAAGCAGGGACTCAGATGTGTTTTCTGGAACATAATTTATTTATTCTCTCAGAGTAAGAAGCATTAGCATATGACTGTGCAGACTAGTGTTAACAGCCTTTAATTCAACACTCTCTACGGCCAGACAAAGGCGCCCTGTGATAGTGCCACAGCGCTGAACCTCTCTCACACACATCTGCTTCCGCCCTCCGTCTGCCGCCCCTCACTGTCACCACACAAACACACATCACTCACTGTGTTCCCAGGGTTATTCAGGAGTCCATCTATAGACAGTCAAACACAACTGCTTTACAAGGAGTCAATTCATGTCAACTCCATCAACACGCAAATATCTCTAGTTTTAAGTGTGTGATCCACGCGTGTGCTGATTTTATGAACGTGAAATCATCTGAAACAATCCTTTTGGGGGATTTGGGGGAATAAAATCTGTTGCCTGTGGGTACAGATGAAAGCATCTTGCCATCTACTGACTCCCTACAAACGGCTGCAGGCAAAATTGTATTGGCTGTATTTCATCATCCGTGTGTTGAACTGATTTCTATTATATATTCACATGGATTCAGGACATTCAATGCACCAAGCTATTCTGAAATACACAAATAAATTCAAGTGCACACACACACACACACACACACACACACACACACACACACACACACACACACACACACACACACAAACACGATTATTGCTATTTTGGTTTTTCTAATGTGTTGAAGGTCAGAACTCACATCTTGTGCTGATCAGATTAGACACACTGTGTAAAGCTGTAGCATTCAGTATTGCACAAAATGTTATTTAAGCGAAGACAAGTCAAACAGTGGAGTCACTATTAAGTTAATTCAAGCATCTTCTTTCATTTATTGCGCGCATTTTTAAAAAAAGGCATTGCTGATTGCTGAATTCAGTGGTAGACTGTTAAAATAAACCAGGAAGAAATTAAAAGGGCAGAAAAGAAAAATAAAGACATTTCTGTCTCAGTTATATAAAGTCCATGGCAAAAAAGATTTTTTACATAAAAGATTAATGTGTTAAAATAACCAAACCAAAAATAACAGAATTTGCCTGCATGATAAATAACAATGAATTACTTAATAGCCTTTAAAAGCTGCTGGTCTAAAATATTAATTCTGATGACACTCTCACAGCTCTTTTTTTAAAGATTTTTCACTTAATATCTATATATTTTGTACCTCCTATTATAACACCCTGTATTTGTTCTGTTATGTTGAGAAAAAAGCTTTTGATAGAAATCTAGAGATTTTCAACAGATTTTATAATATATAGGGTTTCAATATGGAAACAGAGCCCGACAATTAGCCTTCAGTGAACATACAATCACAAATCTTTTCTTCAGGTAAACTGGTTGTTACACTGGATGGACTATCCAAAAATCTATATAAAAAATATGACCAGAACTTTGTTTTATTCTCCTAGAACCGACAGCATCAAAGCCTTCTGCAACAGCTTTACTGAAACCATAATGAAACATTGATTGCATTCTCTAATGGTATGGCCTTTCAAAAATGTCAAGTCACAAAGGTGTTTCCTTTTGACTCAGACAGAAAGAAAGCGTTGACAGAACAGACAACATAAAATAAATCCCCTTTCATAAAATTCCAGATAGATCGATCCCTTGCACAGTGTTTCTCCCACCATGTCACAGACCACCAGTCATGTTTAGATAAAATGGAGGACTGGGGAGTCGAGTGGATCACATTTTACATGAAGGTGGAGAATATATTACTTATATATTTATTCATTTATTTGGTAAATCTGGGTTATATACTGGTGACTTATTCATTAATTTAATGTAATTTGAGTTTGTTATTCTGCTCTTTAAAAAGAAGATATGATTGTATTAAATTACTGAGAAGCATGTTGACATACAGTTTGTATTTCACTGAAGTGGGCAGTAAAATCAGATGTCCCACCTACACAGTTCTGCAAATCACAGAATCGTAATTTTACTACTCAAGACAAATCCTGGTCTTCTCCCATCAAACTCAGAAAGACTAAAAGAGAGATGGTGTAGTTTTTTGTGTCACAACCCAGGAGACCCATGTTCCTTTTGAGTTTGGTAATTTATCCTATAATTCAATTATTGTAATGAGTAACCAAAGCAAGAAAAATTGCTGAAGAAAAACAACCTACATCATAAATCCTCCTAGGTTCAATTATGCCCGTATTTTTGAGAAGTAGGACGGCACAGTAATTAGTGAGACATCTTGTGTAACTGAGGATGGGGCTTAAAGCCCCCATGTCTACAATCATCAGCTCTGCCCATGCCTTTGAGCAAGGCACTAATTTTCTACCTCGTCTGGCTGCCAAATGAAGTGCGGGCAGAACATAAGTGTGGCTATTACAAACAGACATTACAAAACACTGGTAGTGAGATAAATGTAGATGACTGTCAATAAATGTAACTGACTGTTGAGCCTCTGTGGTTAATGGTGTGTATCCTGCATATCAGCTGGTGTGATGAAAGTGGAGGCAAATGGAACAAGCCACTCCACTGAGAAACAGGTGTAAGCACAGGACCCTGCTTAATATTTGATGCTGTAGGGAGGACTTTGAAGTTTGGCTCTGGTCATGAGAGAGTTGGAAGCAGGAGGAAGGCTGACTTTCATAAAATTTCATGTGTATATTCTCGTTCCTACAAGATAAACAGTGCTTTATTTTTCCTTTTTCTCCCTCTGGCCTAATAGCCATTACAACATTAAACAGCTAATGATAAGATCCTCTTGACAAATTTGATTTTACCAGTCCAGAATTTGTAGTTTTCCCAGAGGCATTTTATTGTTGGTAAAAGGAGGACAGCAATATCAGTAATTATAATAATGGCCCTGGCGCAGAAGGGACACAGTGATGTGAAAATGGATATCTGGCTTGTGTCCTCCTGTCTTAGTTAGTCTGGCTGAAACACAGCTGCAGAGCACATAGCCTTAATAATATAGCAGCCTGATCGGGCATGCAGGACATGTACCTACTGATGAGTGACATTACTGTATTTTTATCACATGCAAATCAACCAAAACCTGTGCTGCTACATCTCCAAATTCTGACTGGGAGACCATTCCCAACATGCAAAATACAAACTTTGAGTCCATGTTTTTCTGATTTTCTGTTTCCAATACAAACATATAGTATGTTACTTACTGTTTTATAGTAGGTATTAAATAAGAGTGGCTTAATCTTTTTCCAGCTGATGTTCCCCCACTTTAGTGATTCCTTTGCTGATTCTGATTCACTGGATTCACAGCAACTATGTGCTGCCATGCATCCCAATTCCATGGCTCTGCCTTCAAAGGAATAGGTTCTGTGAAGTTTTAGACTTTGGAGGTTTGACAGGTCCCTCCTCCTCCTACTCAAGTGCCTCCTTAAAAATTGCCATTGCTCACCTCTAGCTGTACAGTAAGCAATAGATAAACCGGTTTTGTTCTCCAGATTAAGGCAAGAGAAAAATGCTTTTCTCTGCTGCATTTGGAGAAGCCTTGAAATGGGACTGCCTCATCAAACTCTTATGACATATTCAGCCTTGAAATGGGGGACTTCGACGGAAGCAATTAGGACAAAGGGAGTGAGTCACTGACTGGATCCACATTACGTCACATCACACACGGTAGTGTGCTGCACTTCAGAGAGACTGTTGGCGAGCCGAGGGATTCTGTCAGCAGTAAATTGGTGTAAGCTAAAAAAGCCTGTCTGCATCAGGATTAAGAGACGGATGGGGTTTAATAATGCTCACCTGTTTAATTATGCATATCAGAGCAATGAATAGGCTACGACTGATATCAGATGGTGCACACACTGATGCATTTACACATGAAGACCTGACCATGGTCGGAACACAGTACTGAACAAACTGATATTCAGTAGTGCCTGTACTGAGAAATATGTTAAATAAATAACAAAAAACATGCACTTGAATAGGCGAGCAAGCTATTGTTCCCTCTTCTCACTCATGAAAGTGGCCAGAAACACAAATGAAACTGTAGATGGCAGTTACAAATGCGTTCAAGCCTTTTCAAAACTGTGATTACATTGCATATTCAAACTACTTCTGACTACTCGAGGAAGCATTTTTTTAATCTCACTCATAATCAGATAACATTTGATTGTTCAATTCATACTGGAGTGCCAGGCTTCCACACTGCTCCATAATTCTACACTAAAATCACACTGAATTAATTGACTGGACTGACTAATTAAAAGCCAGAAGCAGCCCACGAAGGTCTTCTATGAAACAGCGGCAGTCTGACGTTCCAGACACAATTCAGTGGATGATATCATCATTTATAGATGGAGACCTCGAAAAATGTCTTCATACAAATATTCAAAGACAGCAATGGTAGCTGGCTTAAACAAAAGAGCCAGCCTTTTGAAGGTTGCTGTGAGGCATAAACAGCGGTATCTTTATTTAAAGGGGAGTTGTAAATCTTACAATGAGAGAGCGAGAGAAACAGAGAGACAATGTGTGTTTGTGAGTGTGAGTGAAAAGTAAATCTCACAGCCCCAGAGACAGAGAGTGAGTGACTGTGTGCGAGCTTATGCATGAAAAGAATCAAAAGTGAATGAGCATATTGGCTTGTGTCCGGTATTGATTGAGTCTAATGTGTGCCTTCTATTGATTCCTTCTAATGTCGGCAACGTGTTTTTTTCTGGTAACGGCAAA